GATAGATTCACCTGGAAATCTCATATCAGATATATTCAGCATAAAATAGCAAAAAACATATCGATATTGGCGAGGGTCAGACATATTTTGGACATAAAAGCACTACGTATTTTGTATTTTTCATTAATTTTACCATACTTTTAGAGTATGGCGTTGAAAACTGGGGAAATACATACAAAAGCTCACTTCAGCCATTGTATATATTACAAATAAGAATTGTGCATAAGCTGGGATACAGGGATCACACCAATGGAGCGTTTAAATTGTTAACATTTTTTGACTTAGTGGGTCACAAGACTGCTGTGTTTATGTATAAAGCCAGGAAAGATTTATTACCTGGTGGAATTCAAAAACTATTTAATGAAAGGGAAGGGGGATACAATCTAAGGGGTCAGTTAAATTATAAAATTCATGCTATACGCACAACCAAAAAAATATTCTGTATTTCGATAAGTGGAGTAAAACTATGGAATAATTTAGGTATGGACATAAAAAGCAGTAAGAAAATTGATGAGTTTAAACACAGATATAAAGGTATGTGTCAATCAAGATATATGCAAGAACAGGCTTAATGATTAATCAGACGGGAATGTGGATGTAGAATATGTATCCATGTAGTAATACTGCTTGCAAACCAATGGTGATTAGATGATGTTAGGGGGTAGGACTAGATAAGTCTAACTTCTTCCTACTCCGTTCAAGCATGTACTAGGTATAAGCAAATTGAAAATATTTTTGTGGACATGTCTGGAATTATGTGTTATTACATAATGACTGTTGTTACATGTTTGAAAGAATAAATAAATCAAATCAAAATCAAATCAAAACAAGGTGCTAGTTTTGCTCTGTAAACTGATATCCCCCTTCGATTAAATTGACTAAAAAACTAACACAAGCCAAGTTCCAAAAAGCCAGAAGTCTGTGACTATAAATATCATTTTGTTGTGTCTGAGTAAACAAAGGGCATCTGTTGTATCCTAGCTGATAGCTACAGATTAAACAAGTGGACTGATCAAGACCTTTAGATCCAAGGGGTTGCTAAGGAACATGAATTCACACAGAGTCTATTTCCCTCTACAGCAGCTGCACCTCTTTAGAAGCTGGTAATGCATTCAGCTCAATCTGCCAAAGACCATGTGTGCCACATTCAGCAACTGCTATCCTGTGGCTGTGTCTAAGACAAAAGGCCCCAACGCTTCTCTTAGGCTGGAGCCAGACTTGACGGTAGACACACATACAGGGTGAAAATCTTGAAGGGTCATTACTAGATAAACACAGACACGAGGGAGAGTAGGGAGACAGAGAGAGAGGGAGAACACAAAGCATGCTGTTTTCTAGGACTCCCTGCGCTGTCTTATCAGGACTCCACAGGACATCTGCTACTGCCACTGTGTTAGCTTTCATCTGTTTGTCACATGAATGACTTTAGGGTCCATCAAATCAAATGGTCCTCCATGATTATACAGCAGCTATAGAGTCCAGAGCATGTTAATATTAACTATAATTTTACTTTGACATTGAGAACTATAGCCACATTTTTTATGTACAGGCACCTGGCATAGGATGGAAAAGCTAAAGCCAAAGTGTTTATTGACATATGCACAGTAAGGAATGAGATTTTGGCATTTTCTCAAACACTAGTACTATTAAAAGCAGAAATAGATCTTATTTTTCCATATTTTTGATTGATGGTCTGCATTTTTATTCCTATTGATAAGTGGCCAAACATTTGGTGTTGAAATTTTTCCACCATAGCTGTCTGGAGTTTAACTGGGAAAAGATCAGCTACAGTGACTGATACACCAAAGGTAAACACCAGGCTTTGCTGATTTATCAGGCCCCTCAGAATTGAGGAGATGGGATTTCTTTCTAGGCAGCAAATGAGACAGGAAAAAATCAATCAAAGAAGGTAAATACATACCAATTTCTCCACTGGTAGTAGCCTGAATAGTCTATAATGCAACCCAGCTGTGAGACATGTAGTGCTGTGAGTCAGAAGTGGGACTCTCAACCAGTAATAACAATTGCTACAGTACTGCTAGCATTATTGCTTTGTGGGCCAACAAGAAAACCTCTGGTGGATACAAAATGGGAGTTGAGAACTTATGAGAAACTAGGACCAGACAAGTTGACACAAAGTGGGTACAACAAAAAGATTTCACCGCAAAATGCTGGAATGCACAAACACACATACAGACACTTCTGGAAACCATTTTCCATCCCAGAATCATGATATATAACATATTGAGGGAGTGTCAGATTGTGGAATTTGTAGGGTTCTCTGTCCAAGAAAACAGCTTCAGCTCAGTTCAGCTTCAGAATAGTAATTTTATCATTTTAATCTGGTAGTAAACAGCTCTGGAAAATCAGTGAAATTGCTTCAATACGTGCTGTGTTCTAGTAGCTGCTCAAGTGCTGTGGCCATACTCCCATCAGCCACTCTCACCCAGACTCAATTCAGACACATTTGCAGCCCACACGTCTAATTATCAAGTCAGTCAAGTCCTCCTCTGCAAGTCTTCTCAGCTCTTGGCAAGCAGCCGCAGAGCTGCTGGGTTTTGGGATGAAGCACATGACTGAGTGGTTTTAACTTGACTTTCTTTTTTTATACAAGAATGATGTCTCTATCTCAGAGTTGATTTTTCCAACTAATGGATTTATTAGTATGTATGCAGTATGTTGAAATGGCATAATACTGCCAGCCGCCACATGGCTTCTGCTAAGGACTTGTGGTGACAGATGTCCAACCAAATGGCTTACAGTCGGCATGGACCGACATATCGCATCTGTTTGTTTTCTAAAGGGCTGTTTGTGTGGGAATATTGCAGTTGATTAGCAACAGAATTGGGGAGTAGTGAACTGCATGTTATTAAACTATTGGTTTAACTACATCATGCAGGAGCTTGCTGGTCGTTGAACTACATTCATATTTGTATAGTAATTGAAGTAGTTAAACTACTTCAATTATTTTTGTGTAGTTAAACGATAAACAATATTGAGCCATAAAATGAAAGGAACTGCCATTTCCATAGTTATAACTTTTTATCACATGTAACATGTAAATTTGAGTTTGTTTGTTTTACAAATTGGTTTGAACTACTTTTAATAAGTAGATTTGGTTAAGATAAATTAAGCTGGATTTTTTCCCCAGAATAGCTTTGCTGTAGTTCTTCTTCTAGTCTGAAGTAATTGGTAACTTTTTCCGGGTTGCAAGCGAGAGCAGACGTACAAAAAAAAGCGATAAGAATTGTGCATAAGATAGGGATCACACCAATGTAGCTTTCATACAGTCTAAATTGTTAAAATTTTTTGATTTAGTGGGATATAAGACTGCTGTGTTTATGTATAAAGCCAGGAACAATTTATTACCTGGTGGAATTCAAAAACTATTTAATGAAAGGGAAGGGGGATACAATTTAAGGGGTCAGTTAAATTTAAAAAATCATGCTATACGTACAACCAAAAAAAGATTCTGTATTTCCATAAGTGGGGTAAAACTATGGAATAACTTAAGTGTAGACATAAAAAACAGTACTAGAATTGACAAGTTTAAACATAAATATAAAGGTATGTGTCAATCAAGATATATGCAAGAACAGGCTCAATGATTAACTGTTGTGGGTGTGATGTATATTTTGTAACCATTCTTTAGTATATCACTTGTGTGATGTAAGAATGTTAATACTGTTATATTCTTTTTAGTATAATAGGTGAGTGTGTAGAAGTGAATCATTTATTGCTTGCAAACCAATGATGGTAAGATGATGTCAGGGGGTAGGACTGGATAAGTCTGACTTCTTCCTACCCCATTCAAGCATGTATTAGGTATAAGCAAATTGATATTGGATTATTATTGTTGGATATGTGTGAAATTACATGTGTTGACATATCAAAGATGCAGTTTCAAACACTGGTCACTAAGTGAAGATCATCATTTCTGTCTTGGACATGTGTTACAATTTTGACTTGTGTGGAGATTTCCTTTTCACCTTGCAGGCCACAGTATGATTGCTAATTATCTTATTACACCATTGCTCACAAATAATTAGCATAGACCCAAAAACAAGAAATAAGACATCTTACATTATGCAGTGATACCTGATGTTTTTTCTGTGATGCAAAGATCTGAACACTAATTACAGTGAGTAAACCGAAACTCATTGCTCTTTGTGCTTTGCTTTTTTATGTTTTCCTTTGCCTCAGACTCCTTCGGTGGCCCGTTCCCGTCCACATCACACCGATGCCACCACAAACCCAAGCGGTGCCTGCCTATCCGTTGTGGGAGTGTCGGTGGGCCACTTTCAATAAGTCCACTTCTCTTTCATCCAAATGCCAAGGGATCACAAATCGTCATGGACCTTGCCCAGAAGACAGTCAAGAGGCAGGCCAGTTTCTGTAATGCCATCACTTTCAGCAACAGGCCCATAGCGCTGTATGAGCAAGTGCGCCTCAAGGTATTTTCTTTTCAGAGTGGAGCTCTTAAAAGTCTGGGAACTGTCAGAAACATTGTATTGCTTTTGTCTTAGGTTGTGCTGTCTGCACTGGAGGAAAACTGCTGTAGCCTAGAGTCAGCTGTAATGTAAAGTTTAGATTTCAGGGTGATTTACCACCTCTTGTCAAATCAGCACAGTTTATGCCAAATTTCTAGGAAGTAATCACATATTTTCTAAATAATACCAATAACACCCCATGTGGTTCCCTTCTCCCCAGATTACTAAAAAGCAGTGCTGCTGGAGTGGGGCTTTACGTCTGGGCTTTACCTCCAAAGACCCCTCTAGGATAAACCCAGACAACCTACCTAAGTATGCTTGTCCTGACCTGGTGTCCCAGAGCGGCTTCTGGGCCAAGGCTCTGCCTGAGGAGTTTGCCAGTGAGGGCAACGTTATCGCCTTTTGGGCTGACAAGAAGGGCAGAGTTTTCTACCGCATTAATGATTCCAGTCCCATGCTGTTCTTCAGTGGAGTCCGCACAGCTGAGGCCCTATGGGCCCTCATTGATGTTTACGGCCTGACCCGGGGAGTGCAGCTGCTAGGTAAGATGGCTTAAGAAACATAATGCGCATAGTTCAATTATCAACCAGGCAAAATGGGCAACTACTCCAGGGACCAAACCCACTGCAATGCTATTAGACTGTGGTCAGTTGATTAACTAATTTATACAATCCAAACTATAAAGGGATGTAAAGGAATTGTATATAGCAGACTATATACTGTATGTATCAGATTATGTGGTGGTTGGCCGCAGTGACTTCTTACAGTCTCTGTTGTGTTTTCCTGTTACAAACACCACTTAAAAAAAAGTTGGGGCATTTTCCAAAGTGCAATAAAAATTTTATTCTGTGATTTGTTAATTTGCTTGAACCTTTATTTAACTGAAAACTTTAACTGCATATAAAAAAAATCAAAATTTGTTTATATTTACAAAATGCAATTAAGTTGGTCAATGAAAAAACTCAAGCAAATTAACAAATCACAGATCTTAGTTTTTCTTGCATTTTAGAAAATGTCCTGACTTTTCTTGAAGTGGGGTTTATAGCTGATCTTAAGGTTTTGTTATGTAGAGTGGTTCTCAGTACAAATCTACTCTAAATACCTTAATTATATTACTTTATATTATGCTGAAATGGTGCAAAATTTATCACCAATGAAACTGGGGAACAAATGGTGTTCATTAGGGGCCCACTTCTCAATTTTTGCCCTGAGGCCTAGCTGTTCATCTGGCCAGGATACTGTGTTTTTTGGAAGGATATGTAGCTGGTATCCTCTGTTTGATGGCCATGATTTGCTAACCCCTGGACATAGGAACATACATAGCTTAACCTCTCACACTAAGGTGACAAAGCTTCAAACACTGAGGTGTTTAGGCAGAGATATTCACTCAGTAATTGACTACCATGAACCTGCAAACACAGTTCCCTGCAGACCTCTCTCATGTTATTAATTCAGGACAAGACCCCAAATCCACCCAAAACAAATAAGAGTCTGCAGCTACCTCCTTATACCTTCAGATGTTACTTTGCTGAGAAAGTTTTAGGACCCAACATACTTTGGCTCTTTGAGGAAGCGCTAAGTGCAAAAGCTGTGACATTGGTTACATAAGATCCTTATTTTAGTGCTCAGTGTTTAGCTGACATTAGTTAACTTCCTAGGATTGGACACCCAGTTGCTAATATACAAGTTGGATTAAGTAGATAACTAACTGATTTATTTAGTGTATTGTCTGATATAATTCTATTTCAAATTTAAGTCAACAATACGAACAATATGGTTCTAATAATTAATCATCGTTACGTCATTCTTGAGATGTTAATCACATTTAAACTAATTGTATTGTAGTTTATGTAGTAAACATCATATGCAGCTTTAAACATCCCTTAATACAGTTTCTAACACTCTATCCATTCATTATCCATTATCTATACCGCTTATCCTGAATAGGCTCATGGGGTGGTGGTAGTGGGGGGGGGGCTGGAGCGAATCCCTAGGTGAGAGGCTGGGTTCACCCTAGACAGATCGCCAGTCTATCACAGGGCTGAAACTTAGAGACAGACAACCACACACACACACACACACACTCACTCCTAGGGGCAATTCAGAGTCACCACTCAATCTAAGCTGCATGTCTTTGGACTGTGGGAGGAAGCCAGAGTACCCGGAGAGAACCCATGCAGGCACAGGGAGAACATGGAAACTCTGCACAGAATGACATCGGATCGGCCGGGACTCGAACTTTTTGCTGTGAATAGACGGTGCAAACCGCTGTGTCATGCTGCCCTCTAACACTCTACTGTAAATGAAATAATAATAGTAAAGGTAAGTCAATAAAAAGAGAGTTTAAAAGTTTAAAAATTTTATATAGGTTTAAAAAGAGTCACAGCATAGCAGAAATCAATAATGCAAAATATCAAAAATCATCAACAAATATTTTGATTCACTTAGAAATCTATAAACCAACAAAAGCAACTTGTAATCATTATTAAGTGCTTTACTTTAAAATTATTATAGTTGAGCTTTACACTGCTGGATAAAAGTCAAAGAATCTCTCCCTGATCACCTCATGTTTACACAAAAGCAGCAAGGAGAAAACACAACAATGTTAGGCGTGATTCCGGTATGCTAGGTAGCTTAGCTTACATACCACAAAGACATACAGTAGCCCAGGATAGTATGGCCGAGGCTTTGATGTAAGAGAATGTAGACACACACTTCTTTTCCCTGGAGCTTCAGTGCTGTCATCCCCTCTGCCATTATAAAAATAGAACCAGGGTCACATGTTCCATCGATGACACATCTGTTTGTAATTGTGCAGTGTGTTAATTGACACTAGTATCTGCAGGCTGGTCAGGGTGGATGGTGTCAGCATGAGACGACCCATTCTTTGTTCTATGTTTTCCCCTTTCTGGGTTTGTCTTTCCCTTGATAACAAGTGGTGCTTATGGTTCATAACTCAACATCCTGTTACCATATTCCATATTCTCTGCCCTAATAAATGACTTCAGAAGAAGAAATACATCTTATTTTAAAGCTTAATCAGTTCATCTGGCAGTACATTAAGTAAATAGTGAAGTAACACTATATAAAATGCTATTTACAATTTAACCCAAAAGTGTTTTTTCTTGTAATGTTTTTTGGTGGTGCTGCCTTAAAAGACCAAATCCATGTTGATTTCAGTGGTTTGGTTTATAATGTACCAGTGGTTGAAGGTTCTTTGTGCTATTAACTGTTTACTCTGTTCTCAATTACAAGGTGTTTAATATTTTTAAAGTCAGGGTAAAGTGGAAATAAATGTGTTCCGATTTTGTTACACCACAGGAAGGTGTGTTATTAACCACCCAGAATAATTTGAATGATTAAAAACAATGCCAAGTATATAAAACTAACTTTCAAAATCATGAAAAACTAAGGAATATTCTCTGATCTGAAACAGTTGTGCAGGATGAAGACACTGAAACCACGCCCAATCGTGGAAATGTGCCGCCTGTTCTCATCATGGACGTATTAAGGGAAAACATGTAGGAAAGATGCATTTGCAAGATGAAGGCATCATAAACCAAACCGCTAGCAAGCAAACTGTAGGCTGTAGTAAGTGTAAGTCCAAACCAAACATTGTTGCTAATGCGCTAGACATCTACAGGAGCATTTTATCAAAGACCACTGGGTGAGAGCAGTGGTTTTGGCATTTATGGAGCCCCGTCTTGTTTGTGTTGGTGTTTGAATGAGAGCATGCAGTGCTGACCTCTTATACACATCCACACACACACACAGAGCAGACGGCTGCCGTTGCAGCAGTGGAGGCAGGGAACCCAGGAGAACTGAAACAGCTCAAAGTCCCCATGGCATGCTCATTTCCAGCCATTTAATTTTTAATCTTAGGTACCTCTAGATTAGCTTTGCACCCATCATAACTTCAAATAGTCTGTAACTATTTCAGAATGATAACTCTGATGTCACAAAGAGAGCCTCCTACTGAAAATGAGAGGATAGTTTGTGAATGAGCATAGTTTCTGTTGCAAGTCAGGAAGCAACAATGCATAAACAAAAAACATTGACAAGCTACATTTTCGACAGTGACAATACCTCAAATCTGACCTGACATGTTCGAGCCAGAATATGAAAGTAGACAACAGAGCGAACCACAGCAGCATTAATTAATTTGAATTTATCTTCCATAGATAGGTAAACAATGGTATATATATGTACTGATGAAAAGAGATGTGTAACACTCTAAACAAAGCAGGTAATTGAGAAACCCCATATTTTAACTGGCATAATGCAGAGATAGTGACTTCTCCAGCCTTACAATAATTCTCTCTAGTGAAACAATGTATCAACCCTTCGGTTATGTTTGTTCCTCAGGAACAGCAATGATGTTCATGGGTCAATTTGACATCATCTTCTTCTTTCTAGGTTGCTGCTGAGGGAAAAAGGCAGAGGAGGAGGTGCCAGGTCTGCAAGCCATTTGTTGATGTCAAGACATGAACGGGCATGTTTAAGTGTCATAAACCAAAAAAATCCCAATAAACATCATTTATATCTCATTATTAACTCCATTACTTACCATTTCAATCAATATTTAGTGCAATTGTGTTCTTTACCTCTCACATATCATGGTTCAATGAGGATAATTCACTTGTTTTTCATAAAAAAATGCATGTTAAAACTTTTTTAATGTATTGGAAAGACCTACATATAAAATACAATAGTTTTTCATGACATCATTTTTTTTAATATTTTGAAATTTTTTTCTTTTTATGGAGTATGAATGATTGTCACTTTCGGCTTTTTCCCATCTTGGGGTCGCCACAGCGAATCAACTCGCATGTTGACATTTGGCACGTGTTTTTACGCCAGATGTCCTTCCTGACGCAACCTGGATTCAAACTCGGGGCGCCGCGGCAAAAGCACTGCACCTTAACCACTAGCCTACCAGGGAAGGCTTGTGAGGTTGATAAATTAACATGAGACATCTCTTCTGTTCAGGGTCAAATTGACCTGCTGACTTAAAATCAAGACAAATGAGTCATGAGGATTTGTATTGAAAGTAATCTTTATTTAAGCAGTTTTTGAACCATAAATGAACAAATTAACAAAACAACAAAATCAAAGATTAGGAATATGAACATGTGTGTCTGTGAGTCTCCACAGCACAAGTGACATGTCATCACGTTTCTGATGGTAAACACTATGCAATGTTTAGAAACCAGAAATACACAAAAATTAATAGGTGGAAATGAACAAGGTGCATGTGTTTGCATCTACACAGAACATGGAGGACGTCAACAGTGTGCTTTGTGCAAATGAATTTTGCACATTTCACATAGGTCATGCTCGTCTTGACATCATCAAATGGCTTGCAGACCTGACACCTCTTCCTCTGCCTATTTCCCTCAGCAGCAACCTAGAAAGAAGAAGTGGTGGTGATATTATGTTTTATTGCTGATCCCAAGACACACCCAACATGGTCTCACACAGACACACATCTGACACACACACACTTACCTCACATACTGGTGTATTAAGTGAAGTCCTCTCCTGGATCTCCTTCACTGTAGGTGCAGCAGGTGGGGTCCTTGGTATGTGGTGCCTCCGTTGTATATGTGGTACCACAAGTGCCATCCCCAGCTCCTCAAGGAAGATGCACCTCTTGTACAGCTTTGACACATTCCACTCAGGAAAGATCTCTGTCCAAATGACAAATGCATTGTAGGCTGATACATCAATCATGTTGTAAAAGATGACCAGTGGCCAGGAAAATGTCATGCGCTTGGTGCTATTGTCCAGCCCCCCCTTTTGGTGGCATTGTAGTCTAGGATCATACTTGGTTTCTGGTCCTCTCATGTGCATTTTTGTGCAAAGTGTTCATGAGCACAACATTTTTCCCCTTTTTGGGGAAAAAAGGGCTGTGGTGTCTGTGAAGGCAAACATGGGAGACTGAGGGGCCCTGTTCTTGGTTACCAGCAGCTCAGCAGGGAGTTCAGCCCTGTTCTTTTGGACCGTTCCAACCATCGTGAGCTTTCTCTTTAGAAGTTCCTGACCCAAGTTGTAGCTTGTGGAAAAAATTGTCACAGATTATGTTGTGCCCCCTGAGACCATGTGCCATATCAAGCACGAACCTCATACCCTCAATGTGGGGTTAGGGTTAGGGAATCCCCTTTCCCTCGATTCCTTTTACAACTGAGGCCTTTCCCTAGCCGTTGTTATTTTCTAGCCTTGGTTTTTCAATTAAACCTGTAGCTTTGGAGACAGTAACTACAGCAATAGAAGAGGTAAAAAGACAGAATTTTATTTATTCCTTACAAATCTTTCAATATCTAAATAGTCATATTAGAACAATCTTAGAACTTTGTTTTAGCTCTTGCTGACAAAGGTTTTGTTACAACTGCAGACATTTATCTTTAAACCTCTTTTGGCTTGTATTTACATCCTCTATCACATTTTGACTCAAAATCTTCTCCCCAGTTTACACCTCTATACTTTACTGCTTTGACAATCAAATTACCCCCTCTGGGATCAATAGCATTTATATCCTCTGTATATCAGCATTTTTACACCGTGCCTCTTTTGAAATACTATAATCCTTGCTACATAAAGATTGAATTAAAATTCTATGGTGGATTAGATTCCTAGCTCAAAGACATTTTGTACATCTTGTGTATGTAACCTTTTCATAATGTAAATTAGCAGGGGGCCTCTGGTAGTGCCTCTAGTGTCTGCACTCAGTGAGGATAGTGCTACACATGAGCACTCACACACATGCCAGCACCTTCAAAAAGTAGCTTCCACTTCCAGTTCAAATCAGCCACTCTACCTGTCTTCATATCATTTGATAAGCTTCTCTTTTCAGCTGTTGCATTTCTCACCCATTTTATTTAAAGAGCCCATGGCATGCAACATAAATGCCCATAAATAAAATGTACATTCTAAAAGAATGACTTGACTGGGATAATTAAAAACAATCCTCATAATGCTTTGTGGGAGCATATTTAAACAGCTGAAATTTGCATTACTGGTTATGTAACAGCTGTGAAGTTGATATGGCAAATTTGTTCTGTGTTTGTATCTACCTGATGCATTGAGTATTAACTCTCCCTTTAGATCTGTTTTTGGTCTCCATCAATTTCTTAAAAATATCTGCCCCTTTAGTTGCTAAATGCTACACTATGCTCTCAAGGTAGTTGCTAATTTTAATGATTTGCCTTTTAGGGTTGGACAGATATACAGTAGCATAAGGTGGGTTTATCAGAGCTGATTTTTGGCTAATAACAGCTGCATGCTATGAGGGCCTTAAGAGTGAATCAAAACAAATGACAGATGCTAAACCTTTCCTTCAAACTAAGAGGAACAAGGAGATCATTCTTTGTGGGTTTGTCAACATGAAAAAATCCTTTTACATACACATCATTTGACCCATTATTAATACTAAAGTATAGAGAATGTGAGGGTATGTAACACTGTGTTGAATGTTGGGATGGGGTGCCATTTTCTGAGGGAGGCACTGTATTTACCTGCATACATTATTGTTTTGTTTGGCTAAAAAAGTGCTTACACCTTGTAGATTTCACTCCACTGACTGGTAATTCAGAATGGATAACCTTAGCTGACTGTAGCTAACTTGTAGCAGGACCTAGAGATCCCATCAACGAGAGTGACAGACTGAAAAATGCCTCTGCACCCTGATCTCAGCGCTCAGTTCGGAAGCTAATGCTAGCTAGCAGAAGTCGGCAGATAATGCAAACACTGCAGACAAATTAGTTTCTGTTCTGTCTGTGCTGAAACTGAACACTAAAGTGGATGTTTGGATGTAGTTGAAGCACCTGTTACTATATGTAGCTCTATGGGATAGTATTTATTTTTTAAAATTAAGTTATAGATGTATGTAGTGTATACTTCTATGATGGATAATGAGCATGATCCCCCCCACAAAATGGTGCATTTACCCAAAATTCAACATGGCCTGATGACAACTTCACATTCTCTGTTGTTCACTGCAGCTTTAATCAGTCAGAACATTTTAAATTAAGTAATAACAGCTAATAAGGAAAGCTGGATTCAGGATATACTGTACAAGCAGTCATATCATCCATCATTACAATCAGAATGACAACCCCTTTACTTTTTGAAACTTGTTTGCACACGTTCATAGTGGTGTTTTTCAGGTGTCTTTTTGTCTTTGTTATGTATCACTGGTTCCTTATGCCGAGGTGGTTCTGAGGTCAGCGCAGAAATAGTAGAGCAGAGGACGACCATATGTGACATTTTGAATCCCTTTGATGTAGAAAGATTGAAATAGGAGCCGTACATTGTGATAATCCACCCTGCAGGAATTTCCACTGGGGCACATCATACATGGCAGGAACAAGGAAACCAGGGTGGATTTTGTGGTTTCACACCTTGGCAAGCATGATGACAGGAATTTCAAATTTCCCCTCCCACCTTCAACCTGCTAATGAACTTGAGACAGAAAAATGATGGGACATCTATAACCCTTGCAAACAAAGACACACAGTTTTGGTTTGCTGTGATAAAACTAACATTTTTAGCAACATAATATATAACATATAAAGCACATCCATATTTTTAACCTGCTACAGGGAAAAGGTGTAGGTGATATTGTGACATGTCTGCTTGGGCACCTGAAGTAGCAGGTGACAGCTGGCCTTGAACTGGGCAAATACAATAATGGAGTGATTTTGCAGGATAATTTTTGGGGCAGACTGAAGCTGTCCCCGTAGGCTTGAACTCAAACAAGCCAGTACAGTTGTTTAATAAATACCCATATCCTGGGCATATATTACAGTATATAACCCTAATCTAGGGTTACCTGTCATTCTCATATGTACTACTGTATACACACATGCATGCACACTGCAGGACTTGACATCGAGGAAGAAGCTGAGTTACTGAGTAATTCCAGCTGTTGTGAAGCCCACAGGACTGAAATTGTATGGATCAGTCACAGTGGAGCTTTAATCAAGAGGGGCCCTCCGTGGAACATCTCTGAAAGATAAGAGAATAAAGTCGGACTGCGAGGCCTTGTGCCTGTTAACACCTCTCAGCCAGGCTGAGTCAGAGAAGGACTTGGCCACCCCAAGGAGGCAAAGCAGTGAATTCAGAAAACTGAATCTTCATACCTCATTTCACACTTTTATATACAATACATGGGCTGTCTAGCTAGTAATATTAAAACACTCCTTTTATAAACCCTCAGTCAGATCAGAACCAGCTGTAGAGAATTATGTTATTAATGCATTATTGACACATGAAATATGGATTAAACTAGCTGGTCTAGTGTTGGCTCACATCTAGCCTTGGTCTGATGGTGGGGTAAAGTAAAGCCTTTTTCTGACAAAATATGTAACATAACCAGCTTTTTCTATGCAGCATGTTAAGGAAGCTTTTTGTTAGAAGGCAGTAGTGTTACAAGACACACATTTATTCTGTCTTATGGCATGTTAGGTGTCTGTGCTGGTGCGGCCTTCACATTACATCGCCATCAGATGAGCATAAAGTGGTGCAAGTCTGAAAGTGGCTTACAATTAAAAGTGGGTTGAGAAAGAAGTGGAGTATGTGAGAGAGGATGATAAAGAGAAATGGGTAAGCCCAGCCTTCATCAGTGAATTGACTGTTTGTTTTGGCCTTCCGATGTCAGTTAAAAATGTTTCTTTTGCCCCTGGCAACATAGAGACTAATTAACATGAAAAACACATTGCATAGCTAATGACGATGAGTTAAACTTTACAAGGGATAAGGCAGTTTTTAAACTCAGCCCTAATTATAAAAATCTCAAAGTGTACAGGGAAACCAAACACTTTTCAATGTGACTGGATTTAAAAAAATCTCAGCTTTTTTCATTTGGTGTAATAGAACAAATGTTTTAAAAATACCTCAGAACTTCTGAAGCACTTAATGATTTTGCACTTTTGTTTGCTGACTGTACTTTTTCTGTCCATACTGGTCTCTGGCTCTACTCCTAGGCTCCACTAACATGAAGTCTTCTGGAATGACAGAAGTCTGCATTTGTTGTGTTATCAATCTCAGGGAGAGAAAGACACTGGCTGGCTTCAGTGAAATGATTTGATTTTTGCGACCACTTGAATGGCACTGGTGTTTGTCTCGGCAGAACTCAGCCTCCCAGTTAATAGCAGCAGTTGTGAGTCCTGAAGCCTCTCACACCCTCCAACAAAAGCAGAAAGGATGATGTAAATCTGACTGTTTCACACTCTTTTTTGCATCAAGCATAACAAATTGTAGCAGCATTGTGTTTCTTGGCTTGAGCGTGCTTCATATAATTTATGATAGTTTGTTAGAGAGTTCAATGACTGAGAAGAATAAACTGTTTTTTATGATTTGGCATTTAGAATCCATTTTAAATTACTCTACTTTGGCTGGATACTCAAGAACAGTAATTTGCACTTCAAAGAGACAGATCAGTAGACATCAGTAAAATAATTCCATTTTGAACTTTACTGAACTCTGAATTGGGGTAAACTAGAAGTAACTCAAAGATTTACTGTATGTGGGGTTTCCTTGTTTTGCTTAAGTTTATTATTGGCTTCCAGATGAAGTTGCATGAAAAAACTGTAAACTCCAATTGATATTTGCTATTCATTTATTAAATATTTGGAATGATATCCTTCATTTTGTCATGGTTTTTTAGTTGTTTTTCTCCCCGGATTCTCGGTCACGTCCTCAGTGAGCACAATCACCCATTATTGCATCCACCTGCTACTCGTTATCTCCCGATTCAGTGCCCTACATATACGCCCCTTTTCTGTTTGCTCCCTGCTGGTTCATTGCCAATTCTCACCTGTTATGTTATTCTCACCTGCTACCCAAAGCTCCAGCTCTCCGTTCCCGTCTCGACACTCTCCAGCTCTGTGTCCCCCCCTCCCCAGCCCCAGCTCTACTTTTCCAACTCTGCATTCTCCAACTCGCCGTTCCCCAACTCGGTGCTCTCTGCTCCCCAGCTCCAGTGCTTCATCTTTGACTCTGCACTCTTCAGTTTTCCGTTTCCCGGCCTTGCACTCTCAAGCTCTGTACTTCCTGGTTCTCCACACTGCCTGCCTGCCTCATCTCCTGTCAGCTCACGCTGTCTGCCTGCCTGTTCTGTCCAGAACCTGCTCTGTCTCTGTCCTCTCTCTCCTCCACCTGGTGACATGTTCTTTGTGCCTTAAAAAAAACTCATTTTGTCTTCAACTCTTGTGTATCAGCATATTGCGTCCAACTGCACCTCCACCGTGACATATTTATGCTGAATTCAATGGTTGTTTGTAGACAAAGTAGAAGACAATTATACAGGCTTTAGACAAACTCCACGGTTGGTCAAACTTATTTGGAAAACAGAAGACAAATAGTAAAATCTAGGCAATCTGTAGAGACAACACTGACAAATTATCCCCTTATACAGCTGATATGGCAAACTTCTTAGCAACCAGTTGCCTGTTTATACATCAGCAGACATGGAGCAACATTTGTATTTATGTGGAATTGTGTTTTTAGTCACCCCACTAATGCAAGTCCAGTATTCAGTCTGTTTTAGCTCTGGTTTGATCTCCACCAGCTCCTTTGAGGACATTCTTATATTGTCTCTGTCTCTTCAGCTCCTAAATGGTCCATTGTGTTTAAAGTCAGGTGATTGTGCGTTCGACAACTTTCACATTACACATAATGATTTGACCCATTGTTAATATGAAAGTCTGAATTACTGCAGCTTTAAGAGTGGACGTTTTCTGTTCATATGAATGATAAAGGGGTGGACGATGGTGTCAGTCTTCCTCCAGTAATGAATAATTGGCCTAATTTCACCCTGAGTATGAGTAGAGGAATAAAACAGAAGGGGGTTAATGTAAGAACCTTGCGATGGAGGTTATTAACGCTGATTTCATGCTGATTGGCAGAGGAGGGGCAGCCCATGCTGAATTCTGCCGATGACCTGAGGGAAAAGGCTGTTGTGACTTACTTGGCGTTTTGCCGGTGTCTTTGTTGTGGCCATGAGTCACCCTGGGAGCCCTGCTCTTTCCAAAAGCCCCGGGTTCAAAGCCGCATAGTCCAATCAGGGACTGGGGAATGGGCCAGCACCAGGGAATAAAGAACATCCCAAGCATGTAGCACTAAGACCCCTGAGACTCTGTCTTCTCTCTCTCTCTCTGTTGTTCTATATTGGTCTCTTTCTCACTCGACTGGTCAGTCTTAATCCTCAGCTATCCACTGTATATTTCTCCCTCAAAAGCCATGTGTTGTCTCCCAGACTGTGTGCTTTATCTGTTCATAACACAAACCCCCTGGATATCTAGCTCTGCCTTCTTCCTTCTTAGCTGATCTGAGCTGAGCAGTTCCCTTTACATCTACTCCCCTTGTGTCCTCTCCTCTCCTCTTCTCTCACTTTCAGATATCTCTGAGATCTCCATTTCCATTTTCTCTTCCTAGTTCCAGCTCTCTCTTCACCTTTCCTTACATCAGATGAAGCCTGCCAGAGAATATGGATAAAGATAAGCCCTGTGAGACAGATTGCGTGAGAGAGAGTAAATCCCCCACCTCCACCCCCTTCTCCAACACTGTCTCAAACCCCTGGCACGTTCCGTCTGTTCAGGCTAGCAAAGCCATTAAGCCAGCCTCTCCCTCCACCTCCCCATGCACAGCATTAGCTAACCTGCTTTGTGGCTATTCTCTAATTAAAAGTATTTACAGCGTGAGCCAAAGCCTGTATGGGCCAAAACAGACTGTTCTCCTTCCCGTCACCCTTGTCCATGTATTTGCACTGGATTAGCCCAACAGGTGCATATTTATTTTCAAAAACACTGTATTTGATTTGTCCAGAGCAAGAGCTGACTTATAACTGTCACGCAAGCCCTGTGTCAACTAATTAATGGTTCCGCCCAACAGGTGCTACGTTTGGTTTGAAACTCAATCAAAAGTGAAGAAGCAGGTGATGAATCCACCCCTTCTCATACCCCTCAGGCTCACAGTGTCAGCAGCTGCATTTTCCATGGCCACATTACAGTGTCGGAGAAGGGAACCCACACACACACACACACACACACACACACTGTTTAATGTGCAAAACTCAGGCCTCATTCAATGGGAAAGCGCATCTGTGAGTAGTGGATTTGAAAGGGACCAATAGGACAAAGGGATTGTGTCAGCTAAAGACGCAGGTGCACCACGATTAGCGGGCAGCAGCTGGTGAGGTCACAACCGATACGGATGTGCACACACTCACACGCTGAGTGCACAAACACACACGCAAGCTTTTCAGATGCATGGTAAATGTTCTGCTGTCCTTTCATTCCTCTTTCTGTCCTCCAAGCTAACAACAAGCATTAGGAGCACATACAGAAGAGCAGCACCTCCATATCCCCAGTCTTTGATGAATAAAGAACCAAAAAAGAAGAATACACAGCATGTGTTTGAAATGACTACTTTCTGAAAAGTGAGAGAAGAAGTGGAAGAAGGAGAGGAACAAAAAGTAACATAACCCCTCAGAGTTCCTTTTTGAAAATAGCTGATGAAAGACTATATTTTTAGAGGAATCAATTTACCGTGTGTGTATGTTCACACATTCTGCATTTGAGTTAGTCACGGTGGCACACACAGAGGGAGCGAGATGATTTGTGGCTTTTGGACGCCTCAGCCGATGCCTTTCAACATAAATCCAGCGTTGTCACAGGCAGCCATCCTTCCATTCCCGGCTTTACCTTTCTTCTCTGTTTTCTCACTATCCACTGTTATCCCTCCAGACATGCCGTCATCCTCTCCACAGCTCCACTCCTCCCCTGTGTCCCGGAGGTCTTGCAACAAAGTCTGTTCCAACAGTTTAGCATGGACTGATGGGCAGCAGAGAAATGGACAGCTCTGGAAGACACAAACACAGTTTCATTTGGTGATCTTAGTCAAACCCCTGTTTGACATCAAAGTCAGTTTGCGGTTGAGCAGTCAGCATGCCTGCTTTTCACTCTGTGACCAAAGAGGAGCCTCCCTCATCATCAAAGAGCAAAATTTGAGGCTTGAGTTAAGGTTTCTCAACTTCATTAACAGTAAATGCCTCCCTGACTGAGGAAATGAGATGAATCAGGAAGTGTGCTACACTATGGCAGACTGAGCTGTTCAGTTACAACTTAACCGCCATATGTTGTTGGTCTCTGCTCATTTCCTCACTAAGTTCTGACAAGGGTTTTCATATAGGCTGAGAGCCGATCGGAGGGAATTGATAGTAGATGAAATCTAAACGGGCATGCTGGTCATCTTCAGCTAGCCTCAAGGGCCAACTCTTTACTGCTGAACACTTGTGAGCAGAGAGGTGTTTAATGGGTGATTAGCAGTCTGTGGGAGCTGCCCTATGCACCAAAGGCACTGTCCTCTGCATTTTATGCCTCTCTGAAATATCACTTAGCACAATCTAGGACCTCAGTTCCATTAAACATTCATCACAAAGTGTCGTGCTCCAGGTTAGCAGCTAACATTAACTGATGGTTGACATGACTGCGCGAGCGACACCACATCAGCTGTACAGAGAACAAGGACTCAGACAACAAGTCAGTGATGATGCAGGTGATCAAACACTGAAGAGTTGGTTTAAGACATTCACAGGACAATACTGTCTTTGGAGATGACTAACATACACTATTAGAGAGGTGGTTTTAGTTAACATGTGGAGCTGGACCTGCTGTCTTATCTCAGCCTAATACTTTACTGGTACAAACTAAACCTCAAGTATCAAAAACTGATGTGAAGTGGGAACAGCCCTGGAATATTTTCCCACAATTGTGTTGTAATAACAGACTCAATATTCCTCAACACAGAAACACGGGAGCATCTCAGAGATTTCTTAGAGCATACTAGAAATTTGTCAGAGTCACAGTTATCAGTTTGAATTATTTCAGTTTGGCATCTGTCTTTTCTGTCCTTTTATGTACACATACTTGTACCTGTTTCACAAGAATTAATGCAACCCAGATTGTGAAAGTGAAGTGACTTGAGCAACAGCTTAGTTTCTGAGTGTAACCCGTTGCTCACGGTTCAAGTTGCTCCCAACAGAGTATTAATGAAGTGCTTTTCAGCCTGCTGTTAAGTTACTCTCCAAGGTCAGGGATTACATATTTCCTGTACTTACATTTGTATGTATACAGTACAAGCTTATAGCTTTGACTTTTTAAGAACCTGATATAGTGCAGCTGGCTTAAAATTGTAGTGTTGTTTATCTGTTCAATATAAAGATGATACTGAGCATGTAATCTGATCCATGCATGAATTAATTTTTTGTTTCAGCCGACCACATGCCGTTATCATTTAGCAACTAAATGCAGTAAAAAACTAAACTGAAAAACTAAACTGTAATTCTGCAAAATTTTTGCTTTCATTAGTGCTGTCTTGAATCTGTCTTCCTCTGGCTGGTGTCCCTTTCAGCTTTGAGAAGGTATCATAAGAGGCTTGGCTGCTGTGTTTTCACTGCCACAGTTTACAGTTAGCGGCGAGCAGCTTCTCATACAGCCCTGGTAATTGAGGCTAAGAGGTTTATCTGGAGTCCGGCTCTCAGCTCCAGGTCAGATAGAGGGGCCTGCAGCTGACCAGGACTGGACAGACTCTCCAGAGACAGGCAGTCAGTGACTGGTCACTATCTTTCATCATCCATCCTCCCCCAGCCCCTTTTTTGTGTCTCAACTGCTCTCCTCCATCTCTTGCTATAGCTGAGGGGTGTCTCTCATTGACCTCTTGTGTGGGACGAGATGAAGTCATTCTCTTCTGTCTTGTTCCTTCTGTCTCTCAGTGCTACAGATACACATGTGCATACATCACACACAAACACAGACAGTCCACTCCTGACTAAACTCAGAGAGAGGTCGCTCACAGGGGTCGCCAGGCTAATTTTACCCCTACGACCAAGCCAGGGAGGGGGAGGTGGGACAGAGAGGGAGGGCACGATAGAAGTGTTATTTTGAGCAACCTCGTCCAAGCGTAGGATGAGACTGCAAGCAACCTGTGGGCAGCTTATCAGAGGTGAAGTCATTTGTGTGTGTATTTGTGTGCATGAGACCACTGCTCCTGCTATGAGAGACATGTATTGGCAGATAAAAATGGCTCTCTGTAGAGTGATACTGTACTATGGATTGCAAGAAATGCAACCAACCCATACAGACACACATGTATACATGCCCACATATATTAAATTTTGTTTCAGGAAAGTAGTCTGTTCTGTCTTCACTGACAGCATACAGCATCCTTAATGAAACTACACTCAGCTCTGTGCAGACACAGGAGCAACCAATGACTTCCTGTCATTTCTTTATCTATGAACACACTTTCTGACACGCCCATGTGTTGCAGTTGTGAGTAATTACAATTGCCCTACATCGCATACAACCTGTGCAGCTGAAGTTAAATTGCTCTTGCTTTTTTATCATTATGGTGTTGTCAGATTAGCTGCAGAGTCAGCCCTTCTCACAACTGTAAGCTCACAGTTTGGGATTCAGTTGACTGCGGACTTAATTGACACCAGCCTCAAGGAAATTGCTAATGAAAGAAAAACACAGTAAGACCATTATTAATCACTGTTCTCACTCCATCTCAATCCCACATCTTCTTCTCTCGCTCCCTTTTCAGACAGTGAGATTGTTCCTCCCGACTGCCTGCGCCCACGCTCCTTCACCACGGTGCGTTCCTCTTCTCTACGACGTGGAGCAGATGACACTCGTCTGTCTATCAGCCTGTGTGACCTCAACCTGCAGCAAGAAAATGGAGGCCCCACACACAATCACTCCCACTGCCATACTCTCCACCTGGCCTCAGCCTCCTCCTCTACTTGCTCCATTCCCCAGAATTCCCTCAACTCCCAGCAGTCCTCTCTCCTGCCATCTGCCCTGGAGAGCGACCTGCACTTCCATCAGCTGCGAGGCGTCCACATTAAGACGCTGGACGAGCAAACGGTGGCACGATCTGAGCATGCACGCGAGGAGCGCACATTGGTCTTCACCAACCGGCCCCTGTGCACTGGAGAGACTGTCTTCATTAAAGTGACCAAATCCAGCCCGGCACGCTTTGGCTCCTTGTCCTACGGTGTGACGTCCTGTGACCCAGCAGTTCTGCGTCCCAGTGACTTGCCCTATAATCCAGAGGCTCTGGTGGACAGGAAGGAGTTCTGGGCAGTGTGTCGGGTGCCAACCCCTCTCCAGAGCAGTGACATCCTGGGCTTCTTGGTTAACCCAGAAGGAGAGATCATCCTCAGCCACAATGGCACCAATGTGGGTATGCAGGTGTGTGTGGACAACTCCCGCCCACTCTGGATGTTCTTTGGCCTGCATGGGGCCGTGACACAGCTGAGGATTCTGGGTAAGTAAGCATTGCATAAAATCGCATTAGGTAATAATGGACAGACAAAATAATGTGAAGGACTTCAAGGGGTTACTTCCATATGGCAAGAGAGAGATTTGAAAAGAGTGAAAACCAACCAGTGATTTTAGTCCTTAATATAGGTCCACAAGCACTGGATCTTACACTTCCCACAATACAACCAGTGCCTTCTTTTAACAAGGCCCTCCGTGCCTGCAGTTTGTCAGTCCTTCTGTCAGAGCCAGATAGTATATCAGCCAGTATATGCACAGATATGTCTCTTACAAGAAAGTGCATTACAGAAAGGCCAAACAAAGTATTTTAAAGAGACTGTGACATTACAGAGTTTGTCCACCAGAGAACACTAACAAGTTTATTTTTACATGGTAAAATGTTTCACCGAGTGAGTAACTTGGTCACAGTTTTAAAAAAAAAAGTTTGAAGGAACACTGTTCAGATTCCCTATGTGTGGTACATGTTTATTGTATTGTTGTGTATTTCAGATAATTACTACTGGGCAACATATTATTATAGGGTTATATAGGGTTTGCTTAAATTCACAGAGATCAGTATCAGTACTGGTCTATCAGCCAGCCTTCCCTTTCTATTATAGATTTGTACTTTCCAAGCCCAAGCTGAGATAACCCAGATGACATCATGATCGGTTATTTTCTCAGACTTTACAAAGATCAGAAGCCACAGAAAGGCTTGTACAACTGGCTAAATGGTATTCTTGCTGACGAATGAAACTATCTTCATGTGTAAATTTGGTGCAGTGCAACTTTTAAACTATGAAGAAGATTACGTGCACTTGGGCTGTGTACGCAACAGCAGAAGCACTGCAACAGTGCTCAGCCTGCACATTTATGTAACAGCAGAGTGGGCCTGCAAAAGACAGAACGTACCACATAACCAAAAAGCTGAGCATGGCTCAATTCTTGTATACATCCAGCAACAAACTACAGAAGGGGCTGTAAGAGAACACCACAGTTTTGCAGTTTACTTGTAATAGTTGAGACAGGGTAGAATGATTGTCAGTTTGAAGTAAAGTGTTACCTACTTGTATGATTCAATGCAGCATAAGACACCCAATAGATGTGCTGTACATCAGGTGGAACTGTCTCAGAAATCATAACAGCATATGTCTGATGCAGGTTAACACTGGAAACTAGGCAGTGCTTATAACTGAAAAACAATCCACAGGGGTATAATGACAAAACAAGCACCTTAATGTAACCTTGTTACTTTGCAGTTGTGATATAGTTCACAAACACTTGAACTCATACTTCATTATTGTGCTAAGTGAGGTAATCAGCACTACTCATTCTTTAACCACAGGGTGGTGAAAAATCCCACCTGAAAGAGTCATTTATGGTGGAAATGACCATCCTTTTAGCTCAGTGATGTGTCTCGGGTCGGGAACTTACAGATCAGGATATTGATCTTCATTTGGCTGAGCTCACCACTGGTGAGAGCCCTGACCTTAATTCACTTACTGCCTGTGGTTGAAATCTATTTGTGCTAAGTGCTGAAGGCTCTGACAGATAGTTTGGGCAAACAACTTTTTGCCTTTTGGAAATTATAGCAACAGCCATGACCAGCACCTAAGGGTCAAGAAGCAGGGATAGCACTTTGCTACTTTGTTTGTCACAATGTTTACAACAGATGCCTTGAGACAGGAAGCATATATACACATTTCTAAGATTAACAAGAAAAGTAGATGCTCTGTCACGACCTGGGAAGATGAAAAATAGGAAGCAAACAAGCAGAAGCGGAAAGAGGCTGTGTGAGGGATGGTGATGACCTGCACACAGCAGGGATGACACAGTGTCTCAGCGGGGCAAACACTTTGCCTGCCAGTGGTGCATGAGGACACCTGAGGTTTGTTTACCCTTTTATAAATGCTGATAATGGCAGTGGAAGTGAAAGGTGTGTGGCAGTTCTGGCCCTGCACTTCATTCCACCCTGCCAAGCATAGTGACTTCCCACAAGGTGCAGGCAATTTTTTTCAGGGGGTGTGGGGGTGCACTCAAGAGGATGAAAAGTGGAAGACATTTCTGCAAATGGCTCTTTATGACAAATGGTATTTGTTCCTACATTCTGCCAAAGAAAGATGACAGAATAATTTTTAAAAGAAGAGGTCACACAAACACACGTGTATACCAAACATTTTAAAAACCATCATTTTAAAAATCTGATAATAATGTAATATAAATGATTATGTATTCATCCAGTTATAGCCAAGGAATGACAGTACAGAGGGAACATCTTTGTCTTTCTGCTGTATCATGCTGATTGGTACATGCAGCAGTAAATGCTGTTTGCAGGAGCAACAGCCAAAATAGCACCAGCCTTCCAAAGGTGTCCCAAGTGTTTGTCAGTGGAGGAAGAGGCATCCATAAATACATCCTGCTTCCAGCAGCGGAAAGGGAAGCAGAGGTTAAAAGAGATTATGGGGGAACGACCTTAGCTTTAACTAGAAATGCAGGACAGAAAGCCATCTTGTAAAATGTTACACAAATTTTAAACTTCTCTCTTAACATTGATGTATCTATTTAAGCAGGGCCGCTGGCATCAGGGGAACACCGGGTCAGTTGTCCCAGGCCCTCTAGCCTTTAAATAGCCTCAGCTACCCCCTAACACACAAAAAAATCTTTTGGTCTGTCGTGCCATTCTAAGTTCAAGATTTAGGATCTTGCCTGCTCTCGTCACCTCCAGTAAACTTGACCAGTTGCCAAAACTCAGCTGCTCAGAAAATAGAAATGTAAAAGAGAAAATGAAAGCAGAAGTGCGAGGGACTATATGGACAGGTACTTAAAATGAAAAGAACTGGAAGTGGAAGATAAAGCTTCAGGCAGAAGTAAAGCCACACCAGGTACTAAGGTGGGCCATCCATTTATCCTAAACATCCCGATATTTGGATTAAATAGGGTGTGGGAGAGGAGAGCTCTTCTGACATGTGTAATACGAAGATGCATTCTGTGTGTGCTACGGCCATTCAACGGCCTATACACAGTCTGGGAAAGTAGGGGGCCTTTGGGAGACTGTCCTTCTATTTATCTCATTTCAATGAACATTCCTCTGTCTCTCTGCATTGTTTACTGCCTGTTAATACTGCTTATTTTGTTATATTACACAGCCTTATGTTGGTTTACTGTTTACTTGCCCCTTGCATGGGGATATGTACATGCATGCACACTGAGAGCCGATGTACCAGAGTCAAATTCCTCGTGTGTCCAACACACCTGGACAATAAAGCTGATTCTGATTCTAAAATATGACAGTATACGTCATTTGTGCCAGCAGGTTATTATGAGGAAATGTTACATATTATAGTTTGGTGACATCTAACGACCATATTATCATGACACAAAAAAGGAGTATGTATACAGAGACAAAAAGTCCATGTTAGGAGGAGATTGGAGTGGATGGTTAATGAATTGTTGCAATTCCTCTTGTGACCATAGCTTTAATGAGACGCCCCCATTAGCCATATGAGAGGGAAAGGACAAATGACCATCTAGGTCATTTAGGGTGGAGGATTTGTTGCCTTTGGTGATCATCTTGTCCCAGGCTTGATGGAGACACACAGCAGGCTTGCCCACACACCTCCTCTCTGCATGTTAACCCTCCTGTTATGTTGCGGGTCAAATTGACCCACGAACATAACTGCTGAGCAGGCATCACCTGAGAAATGAACATAACAGGAGGGTTCCCTGAACATAATGAGACGCCCCCATTAGCCATATGAGAGGGAAAGGACAAATGACCATCTAGGTCATTTAGGGTGGAGGATTTGTTGCCTTTGGTGATCATCTTGTCCCAGGCTTGACGGAGACACATAGCAGGCTTGCCCACACGCCTCCTCTCTGCATGTTAAACTATGGGCTCACCAAGTTCACTATGGGCTGATTGTTGTTCTTTGATAGCTTGGCCCACTTATCGCCAGACAACAAGTAACCATGATAGTCATGTCAATACAAATCTCCTAGTTTGCATTTTGTCTTGGCAACTTGGCAGCAGGCTTCTCTACCTCTCTACTACCACTGACAATCATGAAGCCAAAGAGCCGCACAACCGAACAGGAAAAGCAGAACAATGAGACTGGTCTGAGGCACATCTTCTTATCGGAGCAGATCTTTGAAGGTGTGAATCATCTTTACACTCCATCTGTTTTTAACTAGGAAGCATCTCTTATCTCACTTTGCACATCCTGATCAAATCAAATCAAATCAAATTTTATTTGTATAGCGCCAAATCACAACAAAAGTCCTCTCAGGACATTACAAAGTAAGGTCTAGACATTACTGTTATCACTGTTATTACATAGGGAAAACCCAACAAATCCCGCTTGAGCAAGCACTTGGCGACAGTGGGGAGGAAAAACTCCCTTTAACGGAACAAACTTCTGACAGACCCCAGCTCTTGGTGGGCGGCCTTCTGCCTTGACCGGTTGGGGTGAGTGGATAGAAGAGAGACAAAAGAAGAAAAGCAACAAGACACAACAAACAATCAAACACTGATCAGGTCGATGTGGCTGGTGACTGCTTGTCAAGGATGTAGAGCTCCAGGGCAACCTGCAGAAAGGTACAGAGAGAGAGAGAG